TATATATATATATATATATATATATATATGTTGGTTTAATTGCAATGTGAACATAAATAAGAGGGATCCCTCCTATAGCAAAGAGATGGTTCTAAGCATGATTGGAGCTGGTTATGTCGTCCATGCATATGTCTATGGCAAGCTTGCAAGTTTGGCCCTTGATTAAAATATATTCCTCTTTTTGAAATAGTTCCTAGCGTTCTATTTTTAGTAAACAAAAATTGAACTTTTGATGGTTCAGCATACCAGTATGCTGCTAATGGAAAATACCGGTTTGTGTTTAACCAGATAGACCACCTAAAATGTGGCAGGAATTACATATGCTTACTAAGTGCACTGTTGGCCTTCAGGTTCTCTCTCTCTCTCAAATGATCTTATATATGTTCTTGGTCTCCCAAATAGTCTTATATATGTTCTTGGTCTAGCAGAATTATGGTTCCTTCTTTGACTTGGGGGCTGTTGGAATAGTTGGTAGACTAGTTAAGATCATTGGGAGTGGAAATGTTACAACAAACATCTCCTCATCCAAATGGCTCTACAAGGTAACTTTATGTTTTCTTTCATTTACTTTTGCTTAGTAGTTAAGATGACTCAGTTCAGTGGGTTTCCTTTCATTTGTTTTTGCTTTGTAGTTAGAATGTGGTTCAGGACTGCAAATTAATTCTCGAGCAAAGCAAATTATATGAAACAAACAATCCAAAAAAAGTTAAATGGCACAATGAATATCTTCCAACAAAGAAAGCCATGATATGGTACAAGGTGAGAACAATAGTGTATGATGCATTAAGTACTCCCCTGTTTTAAATGTCAAAGAGAGCCATGACATGGTACAATGTGAGAACAACAATGTCTGGTGTATTAGGTACTCCTCTGTTTTAAATGTCTCTAATAACATAGTTATCGCATGATCTGTGATCTAATGGAAAGTTTTCAGTTATCAGGCAAACTTCCAAGCTCCGTTGGGCATTGACCCAGTGGTGGTTGACCTCGAAGGCATGGGTAAGGGCTATGCATGGATTAATGGCCAGCATATTGGAAAATACCGGTGTGTGTTTAACAAGATAGACCACCTGAAACGTGGCAGTAATTACATAAGCTTACTAAGTGTCACTGTTGGCTTTAAGGTTTTCTCTCTTTCTCTCTCAAACAATCTTATATATGTTCTTGGTCTCTCAAATAGTTTTATATATGTTCTTGGTCTGACAAAATTATGGTTCCTTCTTTGACTCGGGCCCTGCTGGAATAGTTGATAGACTAGTTTAGATCATTGGGAGTAGTTAAGATGCCTCAGTTCAGTGGGTTTCCTTTCATTTGTTTTTGCTTTGTAGTTAGGATGTGGCTCAAGACTACAAATTAATCAGCGAGCAAAACAAACAATCCAAAAAAAGTTAAATGGCACAATGAATATCTTCCAACAAAGAAAGCCATGACATGGTACAAGGTGAAAACAACAATGTCTGATGTATTTGTTACTCCCCTATTTTAAATGTTTCTAATAACATAATTACAAAGAGAGCCATGACATGGTACAAGGTGGGAACAACATTGTCTGATGTATTAGTTACTCCTCTGTTTTAAATGTCTCTAATAACATAATGTTATCACATGATCTGTGATCTAATAGAAAGTATTCGGTTATAAGGCAAACTTCCAAGCTCCGTTGGGCACTGACCCAATAGTGGTTGAACTTGAAGGCATGGGTAAGGGCTATGCTTGGATTAATGACCAACATATTGGTAGATGCTAGCCAACAAACCTGGCTTCTCAGGATGGTTGCCATGTTGTTTGCAATTACATCAGAGTATTTAAGCCTGAAAATTGTCTCACAGGATGTGGTGAAACTACTCAAAGATAGTAAATAATCCAATCATGATCTATCTCTCTCAATTTTCTCTTTCAATTTTCATATTGTCCTGATGCAACCCCTCTTATTTTGTAGCTACCATGTTCCAAGATCGTTCCTTAGGGATGACCAAAATACAATTGTGCTCTTTAATGAAGTCAGTGGAGATCCAAAAGGCATCAACTTCTAAACTGACTGTAGGTAAGGTGTGGAGTAAAATTGAGCAGGGTTCCACTCTGCAACTCGAATGCCCACGTGAAAAATCCAAATCAGTTGTTGAGTTTGCATGCTTTGGCATCCCAGAAGACCGTGCATCTTTCCAAAAGGGTGGCTGCGACATTGAGAGCGCCTTGCCTGCAGTGCAAAAGGTATAATGGTGCATATTCTAACCTCAATCTGGTTTGAGTGTTATCGCCTGTCTCTCTCTCTCAGCTCAGTTTCACTGGTCTCTCTCTCTATGTGTGTATGTGTTTGTGTGTGTATCTAAGTTCAGCAACTGTGTTTTGACATGCATGTGTTGGCTTAGCTGTTCAGCCTCAGTTATAGAGGAAGTTCTTGGGTGAGACAGCTCATCTGGCAACATTCATAAAAGCTTGGCAATTGAGGCCACATGTTAGAATGGGGAGCAAAATAGTGATACCTTCCTAGAAGGATTTTATCTTCTATATTAAAAAAAAACGATCATTTTCATTTTATTCTTTTGATGCTGGGTCCGTTTTTG